GGGTAAAACGGTATAATACATTCCGACATAGGGAATGTCCCATTACATATATGTAATGAATTTATCAATAAGTATTGAGACAAGAATCAATGAATAACATTATATAATCGATTGGAAAAACCACAGCTTTGGAATTTCACATTTAAAAAAATTACAAAATCAATCATTTTTAAGGAAAAATAGTTGTACAATTTATCGATACGTATTTTGTCATTTTTCATTATATAAAAATAATTGTTGTTATGTGTTTACATATTCTCACTGTATTTCTGAAGATGTAATTTATAGCTTTCTACTCGATGTATATGTGGGGAGTACTTTTTTTTAAAAAAGCAAAAATGTCCCACATAGGGATAATATTCTAGTTATAATACTCTAGCTTCATTATAATATTTTTTATCATTTTTTTCTGGTTGACTTTGAGTAACATGTAAAATATAAAAGAGTAACATATAAATGAGTAACGTATAAAAGAAAACTACAATGGCAGAAAAAGAAATGGCAAAAATCAAGATAAAAACATCGTTATTTTAAAAAAGACAATTCTTATAAATATTCAATCAATATTTTTATTGAGTTAAAATACGAATTTTTATGTTTCGTCGAATTTTACAATTGGACAAAACAATTATTTTTTCTTAATTATAGTTTCTGATGCACTTTTCGCTAAAGTTCGGAAGAAAATGATCTTTTTAGTATTTTCAAAAAGACTCTTATAATTAGTATAACTTAAACTAAAAATTATCTATAGAAAGAATATAATCAAAAATTGACAATTATTAATTACAATTATTACAATTATTAATTATGATATTCGTAAGTCTTTGTAAATTTCAACTATTAACAAAATTTTCATCGCAAGTGTATTTTATATTGATTAAAACAAAAATATGGAATGTATATTATACCGTTTTATCCTGTTTTATAAAAATATGAATTGTCAATAATGACGGTTTTGAAGAAACGTGATTTTGATTGCTAAATAGTTTTTGAAAATCGCATTGATAGCTTTATCGCTGAAAAAGATGAAAAAAATCACGAAGAGAATCATGCGGCATGCAATGGATAACGCATCCAATGACGCCGAAAAATAAATGCGTATAGAATGTATTGCAACAGTCGCACGATTGATATTACGGACGTTGATAAGCGATACTTTGTATTGGGAGCCGGATGAGGCAGCAATTGTGTATAAGCTAATGCATGCGTCGCGTGCTCGTTATTCCTCTTGCGCGTGACAACTCTTCTAAATTTTCACAATCGACGCGAATACATGAAACGTGAGAACCGCGCGGACCCAAATACGCATTTCTTTTATTCGTCATTAAAGTTTTCGTCAGCATGTTATACAACACTTGATTATGTATGTACATTTTTGCCGACTTCTTTAGCCGATCTACGCATTTTCCAAAGGGATATGCGTAGATCTGCCAAAGTTTTCCTCGAATGTGCGTTTGTTTACTTCGTTTTACAATCTACAATATCCAAATATGCAAACTGTATATACATACATATATATATATATATATATATACACATATATATATATACATACATATATATGCATATATATATATACATATATATATATATATATATATATATATGTATGTATGTATATACAGTTTGCATATTTGGATATTGTAGATTGTAAATATATATATATATATATATATATATATATATGTAATATATATATATATATAAATATATATATATATATATATATATATATATATATGTGTAATAATCTATTGTAATAATCCAAATAAAAAGATATATAATATATTATATAATAATTATTATATATAATTATATTTTATACATATAATAATTATTATTAAATATATTAAATAATATTATATATATATATATATATATATATATATTATATGTAATTACATAATATTGTATAATCATATCATAATAATCACTTATCTATTATAATAATAATATAATAATTATAGATAATATACATAATAATAAATATATAACAATAATATAATAATATAATATAATAATTATAAATAATATATATATATATATATATATATATATATATATATATACATATGTATATTATCTACAATGGTTATTACATTATAAATTTTTTCAATACGATATATAATACAGATAGATAATATGCGCAATATTCAATGAAACTATGAATATTCGATTTACATGCTGGAATGGATCGCGCATCCCTTTATCGTAAATAAAATGAAGAGAGGGACTGGTTGATAAATTTCTTTGATGCATTGGTATACGCATATACGCACTCGATAACTGATAACCGCGACGATAAAGCATTGACACCCGTTTGATTAAAGTGACAGTCTGTCGACATAATCGAAATTAATAAACTTTGTACTTTAAATTTGCAAATTTGTTGTCTTTCTGCTGAAAGAAATTTATACCAATACTTGGATTATCATATCAAAAGATAAAAAAATAAAAACAATTAAGAAATAATAAGAAATATTAAGAAATGCAACTCATGTAACTCGTTAATTATTTATAATGTATACGTGAATATATCTATATCTTTTAATTAAAATTTAAATATAGTTGTTTTTCTCTCTTGGCACTGACATATTTATCAATGATTTCTTAGTCGGCGATATTTATGTTTCTTTCAATGTATGCGAGTTCTGTTTGATGATGCATTTTTGTGCTTTGCAAGAAATACGCTTAGTTTGGAAATCGAATAACAAGTTTCAAATTATGCAATGGTGGACATTGAAAAGACAGTTAATAATAACACGCTTCATATGTATATATATATATATGCAGCTGTTGTAGCCTAGAGTGAAAAATATATCTCCTAATGCTGAAAGAACGTAAATATAAGACGAGAACTTTTTTTTTATACATTTATAATTTTCATATTTATGTAAATTTTATATACATCATACGTTGTAAAATCACACATTTTTTATATTTAAATGATCTTTTCTTTCTCTTTTTATTTGTTGAAAATCTCTCTGGTTTCTTTTCTCAATTCCGCGCAAATCATATTACTATGCCGTCTTACATTTCAATTGATGACCTAATGTAGAAAACATTATAGCCGAAAGAATTTGAATAACTTTAACAAGATTCTTTATTATGGCAAGACTTTTTTAAAGCAGTCTATACACATATCTGTATCGGCGAATTTATGAACTTGTAAAAAAATAATAATTCGTACAATATAACATTAATTTTTAATTAGCAATCAATCGAATCGCTTCATATTTTTTTATAACTTACAATAATAATATATCCGCAGAGATTATAGAAAGATGCATATATTGTATAAATACAAAATACAAATATACTTTACGCAATAGTATCGAAACTTTGTGTATTAAATACATATATATGAAAAAGTAATAGAAAGATCGTTGATAGAATTCTTTTGTTGATTTGTAAAAATTACTATAAATATATTGCGCGCATAATGCCATATATCTTTATCAAAATTTAAAATGTATACATGTATTTCATCCACATTAATATTTTATCCACATTAATTTCTCTTTTTATCTCTTGCGCGGTTCGAACGTTTTCATCAACATTGTGCAATAATAAATACAAGTAAATTGATAACAACATACATTGAAATCTTTAATAAATGTCAAAATATCTATATGTCAAAGATCGCGTAATCAAAAAGTTGCATCATATTTATTAGTCATTTACAGTATTTTTTTTTAAACAGAAGTTTAATTATGTGAAAATAATTATTTTCTTGATTAAAGTTCTTAATATTTATAATGCACACTATTCAATATAACTTAAGAAATGAATGCGGATTGTGTTTTTTCATATTTAAGTTAGTCTCGAAAAGTAAAATTATAATATTGATATAACATAATAGGAATGTGTTTGCATATATTATCTATTCTACTTACATATTGTTAATTATAAATATAAATGCATAAAAAAAACATGCATATATATATATAGTACAAAACATTGGCAAATATTTATGCATATATACTATCATGCAAATAATATTGCATTATGTATTCTCTTGAGAATTCAAGAAATATATGTTTGATTAAAATTTCGGTTGATTAGTTTTAGTTTCATCATAATATATCTTGCACTTCTACGCAATTTCATATGTATATAACTCTTTCCTACATAAAACTGAATTATTTATATTAAAAAATATGTAAAAATTAATCAGATCAATAACTTTCACGTTTTATGTACACAAATAAAAATGTTTGATGATAAAACTTGCACTTATCTTATAATTATATTTCGTTATATAATGCTTAGATTAACAATAAAGTACACAAAAAGATACTTCATCTTTTCTGGAAAGCATTTATAATTATATAATACGCGACTATATACTACTGTATATATCTTAACAATAACATACATTGAGATGTTGTATATTTGTAACGAGATAATGATTTGTTATGTTCATATCTTGCTACTCTCTAAGCATGATTTATAATATAATTTTATTGAATTAAATTGCAAATAATAATCGTATTAGAAGATAAATATATATGCGTAGAAAATTATATATTAATAAGAAAATTTGTCTTATCCTTCATTAGGCCATTATATATATGTATATATATATATATATATATATATATATATATATATATATATATATAATTTTCTTCATTTATCATATAATAAATTTTCGATGTAATGCGACTCAAGAAAATATTTTTGCATATATATATTCATATCTAATGCATGTTTCACTTGCAATGTTTTATATTTGCTCTTAGGTATTTTGAAGATGCGATATCTCATATGAGATATGCAATTAACAACAAATTCACCTGAGACATGTTTTTTCTTTAACATTCTGATGATTATAAATTAGTATGAATTCCGTAATCTTTGTAAAATGTTATCTTATTAACAAGGGAAAAATTATAAATGAAAAGGAACTTAAATTTTATAATTCTTGAATTATCTTTACAAAAATTATAATAATGAAGATTATATATTAGAAATTTTGAGACAATATAATAGGGCTATTTTAAATGTTAAGATAATTAATTAAAGTTTTTTATATTGAGTAAAAAGAATTCATACTTCATAATGTTTTTATACGAAACGATTCTAAATATCTGTTTCCATTCATAGTTCAATGATGATTAATCAATACTTTGCAACAATTTGAACTTTGCCATTTTAATATATAAGATATTATTTGTTCGCGCATAAATCTTTATGAATAATTATACGAGAATGTGTAAAACCTCATTCAGACATATGTGGCAGATTCGTGGTATCATTTCGACGTTGTAATCGTTCTGGATGCGAGCAAGCCAACTGACTGAAATCGCGAACGACATCATTGAATGTTTCATCACCGGTAACGCCTATCTCAGAATCTTTCATTTCTTCATTTAGCAGGCCAAGTCGTAATCTGAAATATATATGTCAATATAATAAAAGAAAATATTTTAATATCAATTCCTGAGAGATATTTACAAGGTGACGATATCAGCATTCGCTTCTTTTACAGCGATCGACAAAGGTTTTATCCCACTTTCATCTTTGATGTGTTGATCGGCGCGATGTTTCAGAAGTAAGCACACTTGTGCAGTATGTCCTGTTTATAACAAGTACAAATACATTTATAAGATTATAGCATTCTAAAAAAAAACGTAGAAAAATACATATATAATTTATATAATTTATTAATGTGTACCTAATTCCGTTGCTAAATGCAATGGTGTTTTTCCCTCGGCATCTTGACAATTGATTCTTGCACCATTCAGAAGGAGATATTCACACGACATGACAGAGCCCTGCGTATCGAAAACGCGCGGTCATTATCAGATTTCTATATTTTGCAGTGGATTTTATGCAAGATTGAGCAAGAATAATATTATAATTTAGTGTTTCATGGAAAGTTTTCTGTACATACACTTATTATCGCTTGATGCAACGCATTACGGCCTTTATCATTAACATTGGACCATAATTTATCAGCGCCGATCGCCAATGCTGCACACATTACGGGCAAATTGTGTGCCAGCGCAGCTTTGTATAGCAATAGATTGGGATGCAGATTCTCGATATCCTCTTCGTCGGTAAATTCTTCGTCCTCACCAGCCGTTGAATCTTGATCAGAGCTCAATTCTAAATTACCGTCCATAATCGGTTTTGGTACGTCGCAACCAAACATTAATATATCCGATTCTGTTTTTTCATTGCAATGCTTCTCCAATTTAAGCTCTGTATTTTCCGAATTATCATCTTTGGTCTCATCGATGTGTCTACTGGAATTGTCGTCTGATTCGCCGACTGAAAGCGTACTAGTAGTATCCGCTGTCGATACATTTACTTTCCGTTCGCTTTCTACCAGATTAGTATCTCGCATCAGTTCACTGCTCGCAGCTTCCCCACAAGTTGCAGTATTCTTAACATGTTTATTACCATCGTTCAATTCGTTTTGCGAACGATTCAAGATCTTTCCATACAGAGTGGAGTTATTTTTTAAATCTATGGTAGCGCTATCATCCGAGCTTACTGAATTCCGTTCCGTCTTTCTCGCTTTCCCAACGGAATTCAAACTATCGATCGATGTGTGCTTGCTATCATCTGAACTCGTTGAATGATGGCCTTCTTTTACGGATAACAACACCGTTTTATTGCGATTACTATTGTCGATCTTATCGCAACTGCGCGGTCTACGACGTAACTTACGTACGCTCCATTTTCGAAAATGCGTTTGCTCTCGACTGGCATGATGCCCGGTTGGTATCACGTCATTTAAAGATTTCACAAATTTACGATCTACGTACTTCAATTTTATCCAAGTTTCCCGAACATTACTAAAGAGAGAGAAGATGTAAATATTTTTGCTTGTTTACTTATATTATTAAAGAGGAACTAATCAATTCATGATACTACATACCTATTGCATTTTGGTGTAGCTTTAGTAATGTCGGGAGGTATAGGTAGAGCCTCATATATACTGTTTACAACAGAATTACCCAATTCCGCCATTACTTTTAATATTTCTGGTTCCCAATCATCTAAAGTCAAGGAACGAACTTTGCTATAGTGTACTCCAAGACTTCTATGTACACCAGAACATTCTGTACAAATATTAAAGACATTAAAATAATGGCTGTTATACATAATAGTGTATATATATAAGTGTAATTTACCTATGCAAAGTGTAATGCCTAGATTGATACTGGCCCATCTTGGATTAACATCACCACAATCACAACAAACTTCATTACCTGAGATCTTTAATAATTGTTCCCACACTCTAAAATGTTGAGGCAATTTTCAAGATATGTTTGACCATTTAACATAAATCAATGGCATATGGAAATCTATAAATCACCTCGACTTCGGTTTTGTTAGTCGTCTCACGAAACCCTTGTTATCGCGCGATTGCGATTCATGTGAATTAATGCTAGCACCTATACTCATACCTCTCTGAATGGCAGCACCAATAGCTTGTTGCATTGCAGTCACCCAAGCCAAATATGTTTCTTCACTGTCTGCTTGCAATATATGGCTCCTGCAAATTAAAAAACAAATTTTTTTTCATGTTTGCAAATAAACTCTCTTTTTTTTATCAAATGCAAATAAATGAAACGCATCTTACTTTGTCGGACTTAAAACTTCAAAGCAGTTCCTCCTATCACAATCAACGACAGGTTTTACAGTGCATAATCGCAAATCTTCTTCCATAATTGTATAATCTTCATCACCTGTTCGTTTTCGATATACCAATTGATGGTCCTTCAAGCAAAACCATCTCCTATTCCATGTTTTGAAAGCATTACTAGTCCTTTTAAATAAGTATCCTTCCATCTTGGGATTGCCAGGTATCGGAGAGGGAATCAGATCTCTATTATTAACGTAAATATGCCGATTTTCCATTTCCTTCTCAAGCTTGTTCGAGTCATTTCTCATTTTGACTAAATTATCATCGAGATCCTTCAGAAATGGATCGAGATCCTGAGCGAGATCGCTACCTTGGTGATAATAAGTGATACATGCATGCATGTAACTCAGCAACGTGCCTAATATTTCGTGTCGCTTGCGCGCTTGCAACATCGTCAGTGCATGAATGTAGTCTAATGCTGTGTGTCGAAAACACGATCGAGTGGCCGACAGAATATTTGATGCTTCTTCGTATTCCGCAGGCCGAGATTTCGGTACTTGAGAGTTTCTATTTAACGCAATGTCGAGATCACCCGAAATTCTCTCAAAGTAATGCCGAGACTCTTTTACTCTCTTGATGTCACTGGAAAAGCACGAGACAAAATTTAGAGTAAATCAATCACCTGTCAACTTGACAATGTATGTATATATGAGAGCTCACTTTTTAATAAAATTATTAAGATCTTTCATCACAGTTCTGGAAGCTTGGTCTAACAAAATAGTATGATATTTGTTCATTTCTTGCAAAGCATGAATAAGTTTATTTAGGAATGCCATTATCTCCGGATCATCGCTAAAGTACATAGACACCTCCCATAGACTATTGGCAAACTGACTGTTAAGAAGAAAAAATTATCATTAATAATTATGCTGCTAAAAATACTGTTATATATATATATATATATATATATATATATATATATATATATAATAACCTATAATTTATAAGACAAAGAGAGATTTGTTTGACTTATTAAAAAATACATATGTTTACTTAGAATTTTATATATTTAAAAATATAATAAAAAATTATTAATTTTAGCATAATTTTCACTAGCAGCTGTTGTAAAAATATAAATATGTTTTAAATATATTATAATGCATATATTTTGTTTACGTTTTGTTTAATATATTTGTTAATCTTTCTTATAATTTATAATTATCAATATCTTTTTTATAAAGCTTATATTATGTGCAATATGTATACAGTAGTTATATACTAATAATTTTCATATAAATTTTTTACATCTTTATTACTTTCAATTTTTAATTTACTTTTCAATACACTTTATAAGATAATTTAATATTGATGCAATAGTTGAAATATACGAAACTTACTTTTGCTGTCCAACAAAGGCTTTTCCGGTGTCGATGGTTAGGCTACAATTCTTCAACACCTGTAAACAGCAAAAATAAAATAAATACGATAAAAGATAATTATATAGATGAGAAAATTCTCCTGTTATTACATTCTGTACATATATATATATATATATATATATATATATATATATATATATAATATTTTTATTTCCTGCATATATTGATTATATTACTTTATATCATCTTTGAATAATGAAAAATTTGTGCCACAAAAATTCAACTAGTATAAATAAAATACATGCTTGTGCATCATCATATCGTACAATACCTTATCTAATTTTTGTTCAAGTTGATCTATATTCTTCTCCACCTCTTCGATGCAAGATCTGTAAAATTCACATTATTTTATAAATTATGCATACTCTTTTCATTTCGTATATAATTTTATCTACAAAACATTTGGATGAAATAAATATATTTAAAAAACTAAGATGATGAGGTATACAACAGCATTATCAGTAACTCCTTTGTATAAAAGAAATTATAATTAGATTGAAAGCACAAAGATGTTATACCGAAATTTCGGAGTATCTCGTAAACATTCTTCGAATTCGATCAAAGGCTTCATTTTGTACTCTAGATTCCTCGAGATCCTCGAATGCAGCTTTGTCCGGTGTACTGCAATCTCGAAACGTCGTAAGCGCGATATTTTCCATGAAATTAACACGTTAGTCAGCAGTCCAAGTGCAATTAATGAAAACTATACGCGCGCGCACTCGTTTAGAACAGGTCCTGTCAAACACCAGTCCGCGTCATGGAGAGGTAAGAAACACGTAAGAAGATGACTGGACCATTAAACTCTACATATGTCTCACATATATATTGAAATGCGCTCCCGCAAGTATATTTAAAGTGTGTATGTATTACAAGTGAGAGAGAAAACAGTCTCTTTGTCCTTAAGCGCATGCGCGTTGGTGTCCTGCGCTAGAGTTTATTAGCGCCTCAACACTTCCGGTATCTAAAGTCACTAGATATTTTCTATTGATTTAAATAATAATTTGATTTTGAAATAAAAAAGTTAAGATTGTGAGAATATCTATTTTAATATTTTGTAAAATGTATAATTAAAATTTATTTATTTATTTTATTGAAATATGTTTTAATACTTATTGTCTATATTTATTTAAATATTTATTTATTGATTATTTATTTGAATATTTATATTTATTAAATATTTATTTGAATATTTATTTGTGAATATTTTTACGTCTTTTTTATCCTTTGTTCTGTCATTCGAGTACTGTCAGCTGATCGATAGATGGCATTCGACGGCCGTTTCAAGAATGAAGCGCGAAGTTAGCGTCGAAAATTTCAAATCGCGCACGCGTCGCGTACAACACGTCGAACCTCGAAATTAATATTAGTGGCGATTGAATGAAAGAAACGTGTCTTGCGGTGAAAATTATTAATCATGCGTTACGCCAAGTGTCTCGTCGGCTCCGCGAATCTTACCGCCCTGATGTATCATTACGTATTCGGAAGCGCGGCCGAGGACGATTCCAATTATAACTTCAGTCACATGTACAAATGGAAGAATCTGCAGGAAGGCTTTCAAGAGGCCAAGGTCTGCAGGAAACCGATATTCCTCTTGATCCACAAACCGGGCTGCCCCACCTGCGAGAAACTCAAGCCTAAATTCACCAACTCCATCAGGCTCCTCGATCTCAGCAAGCAGTGAGTGTAATGTACCCTTTTTTGCAATAAGCTTCCTCTTACTACTACTTTCCGCGAGTATTAAAGTACGCGCGCACTATTAACGTAAACGATCCAATTACGTAGATTCTATCTACAGAAGACACAATTTAGAAACTAATAAAGATAGAATTAATTAATATATACAAAAAGTCTCTGCGAATTTATTTTTTTATTCTTATCAAAAATGAGCAAATATTGACGACGATCTCGAGTTATAAGTAAAATGTATGGTTCTTTGCAAACTGAATTTTAGAAATGTGTACAATTTAAAAAAAATAGCAACCAAGCGACAGAGAATTAAACAAGATAAACCTTGTATTTAGCGCATACAAGTAACGTAGGATTTTTTATATTACACTTTTTAAGAAACTGATTATCTCCCCTCCCCCCCCACGTAACAATGTATAGCTTCGTCATGGTGGATGCGAGGAAAGGCGAGATTCCCGCACAAGACGAAATGAGATTTCAACCAGATGGAACGTACGTTCCGAGAATTCTCTTCTTTACTCCGGATGGCGAATTTATGGAGAATGTTTATAATCGTCATCCGAAAGCCGACGATAAATACAAGTATTTCTACAACAGTACGAGTCAAATAATAGATAGTATGATTTTGGCGTTGGAACTTTGCTCCCGGGAATCGCTGCTCGATGACAAAGCTAAAAAGAAGTAAATCTTAGATTTATTGAATGACAATCGCGACTGCGTCACTGTCATTAAAAAAATTATTAAAATTTGCGAAAATAAATTTAGTTTGCTGTCTAAACATATGTATTTTCTTAAATTATAATAATAAATAATATTTTAGAATTAAAAGGATATTATACAATTTTATAAAATTTTTGAATTCATAAATTAAATCAATCATATTTTAATAAAGACAAGCAAGGGAAAAAAGAATAAAATAACATTTGTATGGATGTGTATATGATTCATGTGAATAATATTAATGATGCAACATTTTAATTGTCTCTCTTGAATGAGATATATAAAAATTTTTATTAAAAAAAATCCTATCATGAAATTTGAACTATATGATAAATAAGAGTTTAGTTCTTAGTTTTTTATTTGGTCAATATAAAAAATGCTTTTAATATAAATATGAAATGTAAAAATTAAACTGCTGTTTTTAATATTAAATTTGGAGAAGGGAAAAAGCCAATATTGTTAATGTCACATGTGAATTATATACATATTTAATGTTTGGAATTCTCAAAATTTATATCGAAAATTAAAAAAACTTGCATCGTATATCAATTTACCTTCTATACTATTTGCTGTCGATGTAAATAAGCTGTACATTTCAACAGAAATGAAATAATAATTATACAGTATGAAGAAACCAGTTAAAGTTGGATTGCGCAGCAGAATCTTTTCTCCCTTCTAAGATTCTTTTTTTTCTCATTCTCTCTCTCTCTCTCTCTCTCTCTCTGTCTCTCTCTCTCTCGCTCGCTTTTTTATTTGCATTTTTTTTAAGACAGCATTCGAGTCTGCGCTTGTACGTCGTCAGATTCGGTGCCGTGTCCAATATACGACGACCTATAGCGAGCTCGCAAAGGTAGGCTTGACGGCGCTTGCGTTTGCAACAGTTGCCAGAAGGTAAAACGGCCTCGTATTGGCCGATGAGATCGTAACCAAGAACTCGCAACCCCTCGTAACCACGCCCATTTCATCCCCTTTTCGTAACACGTGACTATTATATGCATATATATGTAGATACGCGTATACCGTAAATTAAGTTGGCGTTGCCGTTTTTGCGATAAATGGAAAGTGAAAATCAATTAACGGCAATTGCCGCTATAACAGATCGTTTATTTAAAGTGTTTATTTAAAGTCCCCCCCTCGAATCGTGATTAGACTAATAATTTGTAGTCTGAGTATCTTTTTTGGGGGGGTGAAAACTTATGGAGAGGCACAAGATAAATATAGAATTTTTTAAATTTCTAAATTTCTTTTAATCTCTTTTGGTCTCTAAAATTGTCTCTAAAATAAAAGATTTTCTAAATAATTTTATTGTCTCAAATATCCATGTAACAAAAAGGTATTGGCGATTCTGCTTTAAAAGAAGAGAGAGGAGAGGGAGAGAAGAAAGAAGATTAATAAATTAATAAATTAATAATAAATTATATAATTAATAATGAACTTTCAAAATTAAAAGACTTAATAATAAACTGTGCGAGAGAGAAATAAATTCCCATCAATCTCCAGTACAAAAAACAGTAGAAGTACGGACGAAAGGGGGAATTGCGTGAACGATCCAACCGATGCCGAGACGCGAGTACTTAAGTAAGGGGTTTATAAGCATATAGGCAACGCGCGGGAACAGAGAGCGGGCGGGTGGGGGGCAGGGGGGGTCTTCTCCGAACTGGCGATCCCGCAGGACGCGAGCTTACGCACACGTTATACGTTATGTATGGATCTCTCCGCGCGGACGGTGTTCTGTGTTTGAAGGCTTGCGGATAATATATCGCCCGTTTCGGCGGAGAGTGCTTTTTAGCTTTGACCGTTTCACATCCGGCGACGGACCGGACCGGACTCGATCCGATCCGATCCGATCCCACCGACCGATCGCCCTGTGCCGGCCTCTATTGCGCCGTAATATCGCACCCGCTCGCACATCTATATCTCTACGCGTCCGTCACTTTTTTTTTGTTCCCCGCAGAATCCTGACCACCACTCCACCGACGAATTCCGGGAAAAGAAGGGCAGGGGTGGAGGGAGGGGGTGGGTGGTGGCGGCGGCGGTGGAGAGCTTTAAAAAATGAGCCGGGACATTATTTCTGCTCGCCCCCCTTCTCCCTCGCCGACTCTTCTCGCGCAGACTGACCGATCCAGTCGCGCTCGATCCCTTCCTCCTCCCTCTCACCCCTTTCTTCCTCCCCCTTCTCCCCTCTTATCCTCCCTTACGTCGTTTCCGCCGGCGCAGCTTGCAATGTGCCGCATCAGCGAATGTGCAAAAATGAAGAGAGAGAAGAAGAATTCGCGGGCGACGGTGGGTGATGGGATTCGACGGAGTAGAGCGGAACGCGAGGTGGCAGGGGAGACGGAGACGGGGAGGGAGAAAGGGTGAGGAGAAAGGGAGGAGGGAGGAAGAATTATATATCTTTCTCGCATGTCTCCCTCGTCTGTCCGTTCGGTCGTTTCGGTTCGGATATGGATATGCGCCCGATGGCGGATATATCGGGAGAGAGAGTCAGGGAGAGCCATTTTCAATTCAATCTGTTAAAAGCACGTCAAAAAGTCATACGGTATTTCACCGGCGCGGTAGATCGCGGCGATGGGATCGCGCGAGCTTCGTCCTGACTTCGATAGCGCCGGTGTTAGGTAAATTTCATTAATTTAACAATTATAGAGAATTACCAGTAACTATGGCAAATTTAATCAACTTTATACGCGTACAAAATATATAACATATATATTTATAATATAATTATAAAAAAATATATATAATTAAAATAATATACCTACTTGTTGCATAATAAAATAATACAATAAAAATTTATTTCTTTTTATTATATTTCAATATAATATTTCAAAAATAATTTTAAAAATTTTATTTATGTAAACTGTCCGGTGAGGATGGTTATTTTGATAAAATTTATTACACTAATCATCTATTTGGTAATTACGTATAATTATCGATAATTATGCATAATAATCAATTAATCTTATTAACAGTAACATATATAGCAGATAAATGCATCAATATACATACGATGATGTTGTACAAAGATAACGAACGAATCCAATCGTTTTAACAATCGCCGAAAAAACTGAGACTCTTTAACGAAAATCTTCTCTTTAAAGAGATTTTATATTTGAGAAACTCACTGAAATCTCTTTTAATTAAAAATTTTTTAATTAAATTAAATTAATTTTCGTTAAATTAAATTTCGAGTCGAGAAAGTATTTGTATTTGTTAGGTTCATTTTAATATAATATATTTAATATACTTATATAATATAATATAATATATTTAATATACTTGTACTTACATTCTCTATAATTAGTAGATGATTGACATGATAAATTTGATCAAAATAATCAACTTCACCGAAAATTTCACATGAAATTTATAAAATTTAAATTATAATTATATATTTTATTTTTCAAATATTGTATTAAAATATAATGGAAAGAAGTATTTATATTATCATTGCATACACAACACCATTCATTCTTATATTCTGGACAATAATCGTATATATTTGTCTTTCGTAATTGAAATCTTACAGTGAACACCCTCTGTTTGCAATCCATTTTAAAATTATGTGAATTGAATTTTGAATTAGCACTTGTGTGAGCTAATGAAATAAATCTACGTTAACAATCATTATCATTTTATCGTTCTTGCGTAACAGGTGTATTGGGTTCACGTGGAATTTCGGACAATTTTCCGATCGACTAAATCTCTCGGATTATCGTATTCATTGAGCAAACAGTTACATTGCAATTCGGTGCACGAGGAAGAAGAAAATCGAAGCGCCTCTTACCTTTCGATTTCTACCTGCGGCTCTTACGCGACGATTATAATCTAATCTCGATTATCCGATCGCGACGCTCTTTATTCGATCGCTGGCCCAGTCTAGTGTCGCGGGGTCAACACGACGTTTGCAAACATCGTAACGCGATATTGCCGCGATCTCGATCTCGATCGCCCTATTTACCTAAGGGTAGCAAGTACATAGCCTCCGGGGAAAATCTCGAGTGCGTGTGGGCGCAACAATACTCCGCCACACTCGAAGATCAAAGATAAATCGGATACTCTCGGAAACGTTTGCTTTTCTTCTTTTTGAGAGAGCAAGAATCAAAGACCGTGGGAGAAATCGCGATAAATCTTGCCTTCCGCATTTCCAAGTGTCAAAGAGAGCCTACCACAGGTGATACTCAAGATAATTTTTGCGCGTAAATACATCTTTACAGACGTGTAATAATCGTCGAATTATGGTGACTCCTAAAAGCGCGTGATAATTTTTTTTCTACGAGCTTGCACTTTTTAACGTTGATATTATCGCGAATTTAATCTGAAGAAAACGATCGTGAATTCCGATAGAGGCGCGATGTTTTTAATCCGCTTCGTCTGATGGTTTCTCCAGATTTTGCGTTTCGGGCTTGTACGAGGAGTACCGCGATACTTTAAAAGCGGGCATGTATTGGCGTACCTATTGGTTTATCGATCTCCCCATCGGTGCGTACATTCGCATTGAGTGGCCGATGTGCGAGAGTAAAAAAGGTCCGTGTCTGCGCTGTATATATCGAATCACGTCAACGAATACGTTCGAAATACTTTTTATTATTGCTCAAATTTTGCACGCCGTCAAATGAAAAATGCCTTTGCGGACGTCATCGAAAAAAAAGCGACTCCCTCCCCCCCCCCCTCGGTCGCGATTGTATTTATTACGCACCCTCTCGTGTGTGACATTCTCGATGACGCTCGCGTGTATTATTCAATTCTATCGATTGCTAAATTACAATGTGGATAATCTGATGGAGTGGAGATTGCGCGTGACGCGCATATGACATCGCGATAAATAACATGTGTATTCTCCCATAATAATTAATTGCATTCGCCCGAAAAAGGGCGTATGGAAAATGCATTAAAACGTGAAATTGCGTTTTTGTACTTTCCACCTTTCAACTTTATTGTCGAAGAACCAGTTTTGCAAATTATGCCTCGATGTATGTATGTAAACCTGTCTCTGCCTAGGAGAGGGAACTGCCACTTTATTACTTGTACGCCCCTTTTAGGACGGACCCCCTCAATTTGTACATTCATAAACAAATATATCGGAGTACTTATTCGAGATAACCGACACCGACCAATTGTTACTTTCTTAGAGGCACATTAGAAACGAGAGAGCGGGACTTCCATGCTACTTCTACATTACATATATCACGTGTAACGTAAGTTAGGTTTGGCAGGGAAGGTAGGTAGGTAGGTAGGCAGAGGCAGAAACGTAGAGAGATACGGGGATCCAAATCATAATGCGCACAATGCTTTTATTCTATTCTCATTGCGGGGTAAATAACATCTGTACATTAGATCACTATAAAATCGACCGCCATTGGTGAAACGACAATGGGGCCCCTGCTCCTTCCTCTCCCCTGTCCCACCCTGTCCCATTCAAATCTCATTGTACAATATGATTCAAAAAAGGTTCGTCACGATGACGGTGTTGGTTGCGGTTTATAGACCGTATCCAGCGAGAGAGAGCTAAGGGGTGGAGGCGGGAGGGAAGGCGGAACAGGAGGGCGGGAGGGGGAGAGAAAGAGAGAGAGAGAGCAGTCGACTACAGATCGAGCGACAGTGCGCTCACGGGGACGAAAGGAGGAAAGGGAGGAAAAAAAGAAAAGGTAGGAAAAGAAAGAAAAAGGACACGTTTCTCGAGAGGGAGCGAAACGCGAAAGGCGTGCGTGGTTAAGAACAGTCGGCCGAAACAAAAGGCGGAGCGTGGAGAAACGTCTGAGCATCGCTCCGCATTGTGTTTTATGCCGGAACGGGTTTTAAATAAAAGAGTAATGTGTTTGTCCGTTGCCACCACCATTACCATCTCGCCACCACCGCCACCACCATCGCTACTACTACCACTATCGTCGCGCACAGTCGCTATCGCTATCACCAACATCGCCGGAAGATACACACGATCGACGCACACTTACACCCTCTCCGATCTCGAGGGGGTGAGCGGGCGAGAAGGTAGATAGGTAGGTGGATACGCGGCTAGGTATGTCCCTCTTTCACTCGACGATAGATATAAACTCTTAACATCTCCGTTTGGTACAGCACGGGCCTGCCAATCGGCGGCAAACGGGGGCGTGGTCGCGTCCCAGCGAGGCCTCGCGTTTGGCCGAGGCCCCGGGGTGGAACACTGTGGCACAGTGTTTTATTTCGCGTTCACGTGGAACGTGGAGGGGACCGTTAGTTTCTGCCCTATCCTTCCCCCGGGGGTTTCCGTCTCTCGCTCCTCTCTCCCTCTCCCCCGCTTCTCTCTCTTCCGCTCTCTTCCTCGCGTGTCCCTCCCTCCCCCTCCCCGGCGATGAGAGAGCGGCCGTCGCCGTCGCCGCCACCGCCGCCAACTGCGGCCCCCTTGTGAGCTCCCACTTTGCTGCCGCCACCGCCGATACCGCCGCGCTACCGCCTCTCTGTCTATCCGCGCGCGCTACCTGAATCGACTCACCCGGGATGCTGCAATTGTTGACAATACCGGCGAGCGAGAGGGAGTGAGAGGGGGCGAGAGTATGTCGCGGGGTTCCGCGCGATTCCGCATTTCGGCCCCCGACAGCCGAACAAGCCGGGTGCCGTTCTCCGCGTGACACACCGTAACGGCCGTCGTAGGAAAGCCTCGCGGAAGTGCGGGCGCGTGCGCGCGTTAACCGGGAAGTATCTGCCTACGTCGCTCTTGCCGCGAGCGGTAAGCGTCGAATTTCGCGATGTCCCGACGATGGTGCGCCTAGGAACCGTCGGGTCGTCACGCGATCGTGGGACATAGTGTTGAGCGGTATCGATTCCGCGCCGCCGCGAGCGAATACGCGGCAGAGAGGAGGTCGGTTGGAGAGCGCGAGAGATCGCGCCCGGGGAAAAGCCTCAGAATCGTCCTCTCGGGCATGGGGGCGAGCGTCGTCGAGTACGCGGCTTCGCGCCCGGTCAGGATCGTCCGCGGCGCGCGGTGATCGCGTCATCATCGTCATTTTCATCGTCATCGTCATCGTCATCATCGTCGTCGTCGTCGTCGTCGTCGTCGTCATCATCATCATCATCATCATCGTCGTCGTCGGAGATATACCCGGCGTCGCGAGTGCCGTTAACGTCAAGGAGCAGCGGACGACATGTCGCTTCCCCGCGGCGTCGGCCTCGGCGTCGACGTGGGTCAACTGATGCAGCACCAGCAGCAGCAACAGCAGCATCACGTGCTACCGGCCGCGTTCTTCCTGCGCGCCAGTGCCGAGAGATATCAGCGGACCCCCAAGTGCGCGCGCTGTCGTAATCACGGAGTCGTGTCCGCGCTTAAGGGGCACAAACGTTATTGCCGATGGCGGGATTGCGTGTGTGCCAAGTGCACCCTCATCGCCGAGAGGCAACGCGTCATGGCTGCTCAGGTAAGATCCTGGGGAAGCCGTCCGACGTTCGCGTGCCGCGAATCTGTCATTATTTCGAGCCTCGGCCGGGGAGGGATTTGTTTGCAAAGCATCTCGGAACTTCTTGTCTGCTCTCCTTAAGGATTACTGTGTCCCCCAATAATTTTAGGAATCATCAATGGGATTTTACTTGTGACTAGAGAAAAATCATCGGTGTATAAAGTGTGGGATATGGCTTCGATGAGGGTTGAAGTTTGGATAAATACAAGAAAGAGACTATCATTATTGAGAATAAATATAAGAAACTTAGCCTTAGATGTTCGTAGCAAATTTAAATTCATCGGGATTATTTGTAGTTTTAGAGTAAAATATTAGAAAAGTGTGATTGTCAACAAAAAATACAAAGATACATTCCTTGACTTGTAATTCTATTAGAATTCTATATCTATTTAATGATTTGCTGCTATAATTTCTGCAAAAATGTGTTAAAAGGTATAAATTATAAAATATATATAATATTGTATGTATATGTTGAGATAAAATATCTCACTAAAGAATCAATGTCAATTAATATAATATTAATATATTATTATTTTACATTAATATAATATTATTCATGTCAAGAGAGGTTTCAAGATTATACTATAATTATACCATAATGACAACGAATGGATAAATAGAATTGCAGAATTAATTAAATTATCAATTACAAATGAAACGAAATTTGTGAATCACAATTTACCACTACTAAATTTTAATAATATTCTATTATATTTTTTCTAGAGTATAAGAGAAAATTGATGACTTTATTTTCTCTATTTCTTCTCTAGTTTAATTTTTTAAATTTTATATATATGTATAATATTATATATGTTATGTTTATATTTTTGTTTATTGAAACAACTTTATTTGAAAGCTGCCATTGAGACAGTTTTCATACAAATTTAGCACAAGCGCGGATCGCGTTAGGGTAGCTCATTGATCAGATAAAATTACCAGCTCATGTAACGTTTCAGGGTCGTAATACTATACATGCACCCGAGATTTCATTTCATGCTCCCTCGATACGATCGACTTATATTCGTCTCGGTTCGTTTTCATTCCAAGTCTCGACATTCTATTTCTGCAAACTCCGAATTTTTTTTATACCTCTCGGTTAACAAAATGATCAATATACACAATTGATTGTGATCCGTGAACAAACTTGTAATGCACGATATAAAAATGCTATAGCACGAAATTTAACTAATCGCGTTTGCAATTACGAGATTCCCAAGTAATATAATATTGCAAAGCGTATTCTCTAGAAGTGTGGAATGTTTTAATTACACGATATTAAATGAAATCAGTGTGCGAGAGACTATTCATCCTTCTAACCAGGGACTTGGTCTCCTCTTCTAGCAGCTGGTAGTAGTTCGCCAAGAACGAGAACGAGACTGACATTTTACGAAATCGACTCCGATTGTCGACGCCAGATAAGTCGCGAGATTCTAGAAGTGAACAGAGATGGGGGGCGACATAACTCATACTCATCTCCCTCAACAGTGGAGCGAAAATCTTTCATCAAAGGAGAATTTCGGGAGAAAAGATCAACTCCCCCTTCCCATACAATTGAAAATAAATCAAACAATCGAACAAATTTCACTCTACCATCTTTCACAATTCTCACAAGCTACGAACGAATTGTTTCAGGTCGCGCTCAGACGGCAGCAGGCCCAGGAGGAGAGCGAGGCGCGCGAGCTGGGCCTGCAATTGCAATACAATACCGGCAGCTGCACCACCGCTCCGGTTCTACCGGCGGCCGCCGGCGCGACGCCAGCTGGTAGCCCGCCCCCGCACCCGGCGCACGTAGCGAGTCCGGCGGGCCTCGGGATACCCGCGGCGGCCGCGGCCGCCGCCGCCGCCGCCGCCGTGCACATCCAGACGCAGCTTCAGCATCAACCGGCCGAGTGCGGCCTTTTGCCGAGGAAGAGGTCCACCCAGGACGAGTACCGGCAGCCCAAGGTCGAGAAGAGCGACCCCGTCGTCGGTAAGCGAACTCCCCCCTTCCTTATTATTACTTCCTAATTGCACCCTCAACATTTTCCTTGTAACTATAAAGAAGAGAAGCGTGCGACTTTCGATGTAAATTTCCGCGGGCGGAAATGCTCGTTGGAAAGGGGCTCGAGACCGCAGGAAGAGAAAGTTGACGTATCGCTATTTAGCGAGAGCGCAATAAAACCGCGGGCGTGTAATCGACGGCACGCGACCAAGAAGCGGGAGCGCATGTGCGTTCGGCACACGCGCGTGACTTGCGGACGGAGTGCCCATTAGGAGTATGCGTACCACGCCTTTAAGTAGGCCAAGTGGCCCGGCCGGGGCCCGTAATGTTGTTAAGTAAATAATGGCCGCGAGCTCGCGGGCCCTTATTATACCACTCGAAGCGGAAGTCGTACTCGTTAGTGGCGGCCTTTAATTCTCCACGCTCGACCCTTCCTCGCGGAAGGGCTTCTTTTCCACGGCTCATTCTCACCCCATACGACCCAAGTGGAATGCACACGCGACCCGGCTTAAGCCCTCTCGTTTCTCTGATAAATGCACCTTGCCATCTCGGCATCTTTGCGCGTGCGATTCGGCAAAATCGCTAGCTTGTGATCGATATACTCGGGGAAGAAAATGTATCTTGTTTTTAACATAAATTCAGAGCCGAATATCTACGTCTTTGAACACTCATTTCGCGTCGGCACTTTGCTTGCTCCTCGTTAAACAGATAATTTAACGTTAAATGCGCAACGAGAGAGGGAATGTCCATGTTTGGAGTATCTACTTGAAAGTCGGTTTTTTTTTTATTTCGACCAGTATCACTTTATAACAATGCAGTTGCAATCGATTATCGGTTTGCAACGACCACTTTGTGTAGCACTTTTGTATCGTTCGCAATTGCATTTTATTTGTTATTTCTGGCGGTGACGTCCGGCAAAAGATTACCCTTCGTTGCGCGCTCTCGTATCGCGAATAGTTGCGATTGATAAAATCTACCTGTATCGTGACACATCTCGTTACACGCATGTCCATTCGGCTCGCGCTTGCAACAAAAGTGTGCGGAACAATCCATTCAACTGCTCATGTATATTGCGTTTTATTGGCTACATCTATCTTTTTCCAAGCAAAAGCGCTTTTGACCTTTTTTTTGGATTCTCTTGGACAGATTCTGAGAAAAATGAGAGGATAAACATATTTTAAATAAATTATTAATGATGAGAGTAAAGAAATGAACTGATAAAAATTCAATTTAATATGTAACAAAAACATTATTAGATCTTTACTTTAGAAAAATTTGCCTTTATATACGCGCGCGCATACGATTTTATTATTGTACGGAATTTTTATTTTATCCGAGCTTTCTGCGATATATTCCTGATTGCATCGTTTAGAGAGAAAAAAGGAAAAGAGACAAAGAAAGCACTAGGTTTGATAAATGCAGGCAAATCCGAAGTGTACAAAAAAAGGCAAACGATGTCGACAAAGAATATCAGAAGCGAGCATTTTCTTCAAGATGAAGGTGCTTCTTAATAGAACACGGATTTTGTCGCCGATAGGAAAATAGAAAACATTGCGAGGAAGAAGCTTTTTAAAAATAGAAATAATTAAAAATTAATTGAAAGTAAAAAATTATTTCTTTTTCGTATTCGTCAATGGATGAATTCGCAAATTCATAAATCTGTCAAGTTTAATATATGTGATATCGATAAACCTATAAATTTATATCTACAAATTTTCAATAATAATCAATGAAAATAGATTTCCAAAAACTGCATAGGTTTATTTGTCATTTTAGAAAGTTTCGAATTACTATCTAAGCTATAAGTATCTTATTATAATATTATTATTATTATTTATTGGAAATTTATCTTAATTTATCATTGTTGATATCAAATACATCGAGTCATGAATTTAACTTTTGCTAAAACACAACCTGTTTGAAGAGAATTGATAGAAAAAATAAAGACTTATCACACTCTAGATTGCGCTAATAAAATTAACTTTTCGCGTCGTAATAACTTTCTATTATTACAATCTATTGTTACAAAATTATTCCCCCTATTTGTTCGTTCGTCTAATTCCACTGAAAATTTAATCATCAAGATCAGTATCGTTAAAGAGACAGTAAAAGACGCAAGGAACGATGAACACACTGTCGACCAGGACGAGGAAAACCCTCGGGAGCACCTGGTTTCAATTACGATTCCAAGTGTACCTGCCTGCCCGACGTCTTTGCGGGATGAGGGAGAGAATGTAAGATGTCTCTCCGACCGATCTTCGAAACAGAGTGCTTACAGTAGTATATAGACGAGCCGGGGAGAGTCTCCGGTCGAGAAGTTTAGCAGTAATTGAATTTCTCGGGCCAGTGCCTTCGACCGCGGGGGATTCTGGGTTGGTCGGTAGTTTACGCACCCACACACAACCATACGTTCCTCTCTCTCTCTCTCTCTCTCTCTCCCTTTCTGGGTAGGTCGGAGAGATCACGAGGTTGCCCCTGCTGCCAAGTGGGTGGGTGGCACTCTCGGTGGCAGAGAGAAACTCGACGAGCCCCCATTATATCGCGAACGGGGAAAGAGATATCCACCTCTTTATACTTAATGTTAAGGGAACGGACACTCGCGCGAGTTGGCAAAAAAGGAGGAAAAAAAGGGATCTCCCTTTCTTCGAACGCGCGGAAAAAACTTTCGACGAGAAACGACGCTGGGGGGGACTCGGTGGTTTCTTTATTCCGTTATTCTTTTTTCGCGGGTTAACGCTACTTGTTCGTTTTGATCATTTTTATCGCCATTACGATATGGCGGAAAACCGTGGAATGTCATTAATTCTCTTTGTTCAGAGATATTTCCGCGATTCAAACGGAGCGTATTTATCTGACAGAACTTACTCGTTTTGAAAATTTATAATGATTGTCTGAAACGATTTGACGCGTTATTATAAATACTAATTTAATTAAATTGATGATTTATTAATAATTAGAATGGTAAGAATAGATAATAAGAATAGTCTCGTGTATTTTTTAATCATAATACATGCATCTTTTATATTTCTAATATTTGTCACGATTTCGAAGATTTCTTATTCATATTCTCTGATTGATTATTTAACTTGTTCAAAAATTATAAAACATTTATCTTTTAATATTCTAATTAGACTCCCTTGGATAAATAATAAACAATATTTGACAATTTTGGTTTTCGCTTTGCACATCATACAATGTCCGTAATAATTGATCGCGGATTGCGAGTGTTATTCATGCTGGATCGTATCAACTGATATTTATGAGAGATTAGATTGTACGAGACGTAGATTTCGCGTAGCAAAGGGCGAAACGCCGCGCGGCAATCATTATGTCGAAAAGGATGTAGGATGTAGAGAGAGAGATTTGGTCTTTCCGCTGAAATTCTCTCCGTGTGAAGGAGCAGGGAGGATATGTACCGCGTCTTTGTAGAAATACGCGCGATGACACACACGCACGCGACGGGCGCCTTTTGTACGTACGTGTGCGACACACCCTTTATCCCGTAAGGATCACTTGGTCGCTCCGTCTACCGGGGACCATTATCCGGCAGTTTCTCCGGTAAAGGAGAGAAAGAGAGAGAGGGAGATAGAGATAGAAGCTTCTTCGAGTGTCCAAGAAACTTTGTGAAAGACCAGTTCGCTTCCGTTCTTCGTCCTTCGCGGCTGCGGAGGACACCAGGAAATTATTTTGTTCCCGCTGTAATACGCTCCCCTTGGATCGTCCGCACCCGCACCTCGCGCGAATTCACGCGGCCTGGAATAAGCGACGCAAGAAAGATTCCGATCGCATGACTGGATTTTTCTCAGAGACATCGCAAGCCCCACCTGTCTGTCCGCATTTTCGAATTTTAATCGAGATAAATTTCAAAACGGAATTATTTTCGAAAAAGTCGAATTAGTCTGTCACAAGAATATAACGACCTTCTATTTGCATATGAATGTCATTAATCATACGAGCAATTTTTATACATAAATTGAAAGTAGTGATTAAAAATTATAAAATTAAATTATAAAATTAATTATAAAATAATTATAAAATTAAATTTAAAAAAATACATAATAAAATCTTTCGTTTTTGTTAATACAAAATGAGTTAAAATTTGATTAAATCAATTATAATCTTGCTCAATTGTAAGAGTATTTAATTAAAGAGTAAAATACAGTAAAAAGATCGTATATTAATAACGGCGAGAGCCGGTGCCGTTAATCGATCACGCATTACATCAGCTTGTGGTACACCGAGGTACATAGCGTGCAGGAGAGAGAGAACTCGGCAAGACAAACACACATCGGATTTAAGTAATCAAATCCGAAGCCGGATAAGGCAGGATCGCGGCACGCTCTCGCACGGCTACTTATGCTCTTACGACGTGCCTGGCAACATTGTTTGCAAAGAGTCAGCGGGACTTCGGGGAACACAAACGCGGACAGATAGGTAAGGCCTGGCCCGACCTTACCTATTTGCATAGGTGTACCCGCTCTTCGGGGTCGAATGCATGTACACGTGCAACGCCGCCGAAGGAGCACGTCTCTAAGAGTGTTTGAACAAAACTTCTGCCAGCGTTCTCCGACTACGCGTTTCTCCCCCCTTGCCCCTCTCCCTCGCCTCCCTCGTTCCCCGTCTGCGCGATTCCCCTAGGATCTTGCGGGCCTTGGCAGCTCGATCTCTGTTGATCGATACGAGATCCGCGGGAATGTCGCTAAATACCATCTTGCAAAGATGTGATTTCAATGCCGGTAACTCGGCGTGAATGCAAAGCGAGTAAGAGAGCAGATCCTCTTCACATACAAAATGCTATGGAGATGCGTTGCGAACGGCTGTGAAGTTGTTGCTCGGCGTTTTGAAATGTTTGAAAATTTGGTACGAAGATGCCGAGGGGAGGAAAAAGGATCTCGAGACTATTGTAACAATATGTACAGATAATCGAACGTGTCCTCTTTGACAGCAACCTGCTGAATTAAATTCTCTTTACATATTTCCTCGTGAAT